GCAATCCCGTGCCCCCTCCCAGCAGCTCCCACACGGGCCCGCTGAAGCTTTGCTGGCAGACGGCTGCACGCGCACGCAGCAACGCTCCGATAGGCCCAGAACCTAGGCGGCACAACATCCACTTGCGTTAGCGTAAAGAGACAGAAAACAGGCTCTCAGCACGGTATTCACCAATCCCACTTTGGGTCCAATCTGCCGGGGGGACAGGGAGGTCACAGAACCACCCTGACTCTGGATGTCTTAGCAACACGCCCCTGAAATGGATCATCCAAGCAAGGAAGAGGCGAGCAGCTAGTAAGCTAACCCCCCAGCGATCTCTCTGCTGCCGGAGAAGCAGGCTGGGCTCAACTGTGCCAGAAGAGGAGATAAGGTCCCTGCCCCTTGTGGCGACAGTCGAGTTTGGTCTTGTCCGTCTTTGGGGACTGGGGCTTGAATTCATCCTTTAAACCCCCTTCCTGCTCCAGACCTGCCACCTGAGAGACTATCAGGAGAAAGGGTGTGAATTTACAACTGTAGAATTGTGTGAATCAGAGTGAGAGTAAGAGAGAGAGAGAAGCCACCCTAAGGAGACAGAGAGCACCCCCCTAAGTCACCCCACCTTCCGCTACTCCTTTATGCTTCTTTTCACCACCAGACACACGCACACATGCATACACGCATGCACAGCCCAGGCCAGTCTCCTATCACCCGCCTTGCAGCAGGGACTGGCGGAGGACAGAGGCCAAAATAGGAAGGGGGAGGGAGGGGGAGATTGCATTATAAGGCGCGATTACAGTGCAAAGAGCCCGCCCGGCTGCTGCATTCCTGTGCCCTTGGAAATGACCACAGCCATTCGTCAAAGAAAGGAGGTGCCCAGCAAGCAAAAGCCACCTGCCCTCAGCTGCGCTGCCCAGTGCCAGAGCTTTGCCACCACCAATGCCGCCCTGCAGGGAGAGGAGCCAACCAGTGATTGGGAGGAGAAGGGGGAGATTCTGAGAGTGCGGCAAGCGGGCTGATGGGGTTGGGACAGACTCTACGAGCACAACGCACAAACGTACAAGCTGAGCGGTTTGTACCGGCTTTTCTTGCGCTTTCTCTTTTGCCCCTTCCCCTTTCCTCGCTTTGATTTTCTGGAAGAAAAACCAAAAAAAAAAAAAAAAACACAGAAAAAAAGAAAGAGAGAGAGAGAGAGGGGGGGGGAAAGAGAGAGAAAACAGAAGAAAACCAAAAGGGAGAGGAAGGCTTTGTGGGCATGGGGAAAAGGAGCAAGTGTGGCCCAAATTCTGGGAGGGGCAACGACAGCACGTCCACCCAGACGTGCCCAGCAAAACTGCAGCATCAGCGCCGCTCTGCATGCCAGATGCACTGCCAGCATTCCCCAGGAAATGTCAGTGCTGCGGAGACGTCCACCATGGTGTCCTGCCGTGCCAGGCTGACTACCTGTCAGGCCCGGAAGCCATCCTCAGTTACACACGGGCCAGGAGGGCAGACGGGTTTCCCTGAGGCAAAGGGGCCTGTGCTGAATCTTTACCATGTACATCTCATTAGGAAGGGGTAACAAGTCGAAAGCGTTTGGTTGGACTTCCCTCGGCCCTTTGCCCTGCACCCACTGCCCTCGCGGCTTGCTCACTTGTGGGGGAGGCCCCTGCAGCGCTTGGCACCTCAGGCAACCAGCCTCTTTGCCTTGGTTGCAGAGCAGCTGCCCAGGGAGCGATTCCTGCAGGCAGGTGAGTAGCGGTGCAGGAGGAGTCAACAGCTGAGTCATTCACTTGCCCACTCTTGTGACAGGGCTGTCTCCTGACTGTCAGCCTATGGCCCGGAGCCCCAGGGCCCTTCCCCTGCCTCCTACTCACAGACAGCTTCCTACCTGCTCCCCTGCAGGATGAAGAGACCTGACCTAGTTCTGACACCTGGGAGGGGAAACAGACCACTCTTTGCCAGCCAAGCAATTTTCAAACCTCCCCCTCTCCCCTGGCACAGCTGGAGAGAGGCGCAGACGGAGCCAAGGGGCTGACTCATTTTACACTTTCTTCTTCCAAATCCATCAACCGCCTCTGATTGGCAGGCGGGTCTGGGAGGAGACAGCACCAGTCCGGCTGTCAATGGCAGAGCAGGGGGACAGCCTGCTCTGCCCTTCTAGCTGCACTAGCCCCAATGCAAGGGACGTGCGACACAGAGACAGCAAAATCCCAGTGTTTGTCAGGCAAGCGAGACCTTGTCCTAAAGCCGCCCTCCTCCTCAGCTCTGCCTCCTTCCTCCCTTCCCTGGCTCAGTCCACCTTGAGGGGGTGGAGAAGGGTTGGGAGGGGAGGAGGACCCTGAGGGTAACTGGCAGGGCCTTACTTGGGCCCTGTTCAAGCCTGTTTGCTGGCACCAGCAACTGAATGTTAATTTCCTTCCAAACTCTTTCCTAGCCGTGGGCAAAGAGAGCGTCCCAGGAACACAAGGAGTCATGGGGTGAGGATGGGGGTGGGGGAAGGGAGATTATCACGCCTTGCAAACTACAGAGACATTGAGGACAAATGAACTTGGGGTGGTGAGGGGGGTAGGAATGGAAGCATCAAGCACAAGGACTTCGGCCTGACCCACACCAAACTGTCCCTAGCGGGCCGGAATGGCCAAGTGGAGGGGAGGTGGGGCTGGTTAGCGGAGAGGGAACGCTGCGCCGACGGGACAAAGCCGGCTGCTTCGCCCAACCCCTCCCCCCCGCCCACGGCCCCAGCACTCACAGCCACAGCTCTCTCACACTTTCAAAGCCCCGTCACTCAAACTGGGCCACTGCTGCACGCACTATTCCAGAGAGAAGGCGCTTCCGGCCAAAGCCGGGGGGAAGTCGGCCTGATAGAACCGTGAGCCAAATTCCAGGGAAGGAGGAAGGGCTGGGAAGCAACTCTGGCTGCACAGCCGACCAGCAAGGCGTTCTCTCTCTTTCTGCCTCATCTCCCCGTGCCCAGCTCCAACCAGTCTCTCGCTGGCACCGGGCGTTCACATGGCAGAGCCGCTACCCCGGCCATGCGCAGTTCAGCTCTCCCGTGCCCCCAGAGGGGTGGCGCTCTCCTCTTTCGTGATTTGATTTGTGCTGAACAAGTGAGTGTGGGATCATTTGTTCCTCCCTGTCTCTGTTTTTGTTGCTGTGAGTAGACGGTGGTGGTGTCATTTCATGACTGTGTTTGAACAGGCTGTACCCTGACCCCTTCTGTGTCTCCCCAGCAAATCCACACGCTGACAGAGATTTCACTTCTCATGAAAGCCTCCGCCACGACCCCCCTCCAAAAAAAACCACTGTGAGGTGTCTCCTTTCCTTTTCCCGCCTATCAACGAACACTCCAGCCCCGGGTCACGTTCACCTCGTCTCCACCAGGCCCCTAATGCAATCTCTTCTGGATGCCAAGCACAGCACTGGTTCAGAGAGATGCCCTGCTAGGAACCGAAGCTGAGAGGGACAGTCTGGCTGCTGAAAGAGCCTCTGGGCAAGCGGATGGGAAAGAAGCCAGCAAGCGCTCACCAAAACCATGGGAAATAAAGAAAAGCAGCGATTTCCAGGGACCACAGAAACACCATCAGAATCCATTCCCGAATGGCCTGTCACTCCACTCCAGGATTTCTCTGACACTCTGTGTAAAGTGTTAGGGAGCCAATGGCATGCTGGGATCAGGCAGGGAGCAGACTCCCACAGCCTGGAATAAGATGGAAGAACCACCAGAACTGGATTTCTGTGCCCTCCTGGAATGGATTCAGGGTTTATAGCCCCTTTAACAGCAGCCCATGCTTATTAAAGAAACAGTGCCTAGATCTGAGCATCTCCTGCTGTCAAATGAGCAAAGAGGAGGAAATAAATCGCCAGCCAACCACCAAAAGAAATCAGAGGGAAAGACTTGTCACTTACTTTTCTTGTTTAGCTCTGACATCTTTCTTTGGTCTGCAGGGAGAGAGCAAATGCCCAATTAGAAAGGAGCCAACGGCAGGCCCTTACTGTACTGTGCTCCCCTTCACCATCCCTTTCCTTCCCCCAGGACAGCAGCCCCACCACTGAGCCCTGGGCAGGATGGACACTGCCAAGCGCCCCAGATCCCATCTATCTCAACTGGCTGAGCAACCACCAGGGTCTATCGTCGGCTCCTCCAGCACTATCGAGAAAGGAGATGACATCACCAGTGAAGGACTCTTTGATTCCCAGCCCAGCTGCCCTTCTGCACGCCAGCCTGGACCCAACTGCAGCCTCACGCCGGGCTGCTTAGCCCCAATCCCAGTAAAAAGTACAGGGCGGCTCCCCGAGAGTAGGTGCATTCTGAGAGCAGCTGGAACCCTGCAGATCCCCAGCGCTGCTCCATCCTCACCTGCATTCACATTTACTGTGTTGTAAGAAGCTCGTGTGCACTATGTGCTGACTCTGGTGGGGTTTAATTTTCATTATCTACAAAGAAAGACACAGAGAAAAATCAAAATCACCGGCCAGTCGGGGCTGGGCAGCAACTCTGCCAAGGCCAGCAGCCCAAGCACAGGCAGTAGGAACATTCCCAGCCCCCCGCTGTGCCTCTGAGGACAGCACCCCAACTCCTGTCCTACAGGGGCTTCCAGGCACCTGCGCACTGCCGGGGGGCCCTTTGCAGATGTGAAGTGGTGCTGGGGAACAGGGCAGTGCGACAGCCCTGGATGCTGGGATGGAAGCGAGGGCAATTGTGCAAGCTTCGTCCATAGAGTCTCCCCCCGGTGACACTGCTTAGTGCTGCCACGTGCTTTTTCAGGATTGGGCCCCTCTAAGATTGGTAAGAAAGGGGCTGATTTCAACCAAGGCCCAGGCTGAAAGGCTCCCCAGGCTACTCTGGATCCCCTAGCCCATCCTGGATCGCAACTGAGGCCTTCCAGGTGTAAGGCTCTGGGAGAAAACTCCTGATCCCCTGAGTCATCCTCTCCTCCCTGCCTGCTCACGCAGAACAAAAGCCACTGTGCAGCAAGGCATGGGACCCATTCAAGGCTGCCAAGCTGTGATCCCTGGGCACAGCACTAGCATCACCCCTGTAGCGCCAGCTCTTCAGCTGGGATCAGTGCAGCTGCAGCAGTTACTTAAGCCAAGTCTCAGAGCCAAGGCCTTTATCCCATTAGCATCAGCGCCTGGAACCCAGCAGGGATGCCAGCACTGGTGCTTGTGGCAGAAATCTGCTGATGTGCACCTGCCCCCAATGCATGTGTAGATGGGTCCACTCTGAGGGGTAGAAAGTGTTTCTAATTTCCAGCACCCAACATCCTGGGTTCCCGATTCTGAGGGGAGGCTGCATTGCTACTGCAATCTAAATAATCAGGGCTTGACAAATACGCTTTTCTACTCGGCCATGGTGAGTAGATTTCAGCCAGTCACCCCATTCACCAGCGGTCCGTGCATGCACAGTGCGGGTCTCGCACATGTGCGGTGCAGGGCGAGTAGTTTTTACCGCAATCGTCGAGCCCTGTAAATAATGCTGCAAGGTTCTCCACACACACACACACACACACACAAATTTGGCTCAGGTCATGAGTAAAATGAGCGTGTTTGGTGTCAACACAGTCCCATGCGGTCTCCTGTCTGCCCCACAAAGCCACAATATTTACAGTCTCTGCTTGAGGGGCCCACGGCTGGAAGAGAGGAGGGAGGAACTGTGTACAGGGAATCCAGGACTAGAGCAACAGGGGCAGTGCTGGTCAAGCTCAAGAGCATCAGCATGGCTGTGAGGGCGAGAGGCAGGAACCAGCCAGCGTGGAGCTGCAGGGGCTGGTCTACAGGGGGAAAGGCTTTCTCAGAGAGCCTCCTCTCAGTACGCCTGGCCTTTGCTCCCCGCTGCCGGCCTCTGACTCCCCTGAGCACTGAATTCAGCAGTTTCAGAACAAAAGCAATAAAGGCAAAGGGGCTTTTCTACTTGATATGGGCCCTTCTCTCTCCTGCTGGGCCACTGGAGCTAATGACCCAAATCCTCAGCTCTGCCAATAAAGAGGAGAGAGTTCAGAGAGGGCTTCTTCTTTTACAGGACACTCAGCCACCTTAGCACTGCAGCAGGAGCTGCCTGGTACGTGTACCAAAGCAAGAGAGAGGGGCTGGGAAGTTTCCCTACCAGGCCTCCAAGGTAACACCAGGAAGTAATTAGAAGTGCTGCCTGTATAGTGCAGCTTCTCTGTCTCTGGCTAGCCAGTTAACTCCACTGACCCAGAAAATGGATTTTCCCATTAATCTTAAATAGGAACTCCTGTTAAACAGCAACTCCTGTTAAAGCCGCTTGGTGCGGCCATGGGAGACTAGAGCCCCAAAGCAATGTCTCTTCACACGAACGTATGACTAGCAATGAGACTGAACAACTCCCTTTTCCCTCCCCAAGACTCCAGAGGAGGCCCATCTGCTCTCTCTGAGGAGATCTTGCTCCCAGATTAGGCTTTGCCTCCTCGGCTGCCTCAGAATGACCAAGTTGCAGTGACTCGGGATGGCGGAGGCAGGAGGCTCCCTCCCCTCTGCTACCCCCATTCCCTCACCTCCATGGTGATGTTGTGCACCTCCACGGGGACGCATTCTAGGCCCTCGTCACCACAGCAGCCTGCACACCTTTGCAGGGGCACGCAGGACGGCTTGAAGATGTACTCCACCTCATCAGGATACTCCTGCAAAATGTCCACCAGGGTCTCAATCGTCCTGCAGAAGCTACGCTCATAGACATCCATGAACTTGATAACTATGAGGCAGGAGAGAGGGAAGGAGAGAGAGAGAGAACGAATTAATAGCAGCTCAGTCTGGGAACATGCAGACCTTTGCCCTCAGAATGAGGCAAGCAGTTGAAATGACTGGTCCCTCTGCCCTTCACTGGAGGCTCTGCAGCCCTGATCTGCCTCTACGATATAGATTTCCTCATAATTATCCCCACCAAACTGAGGAGCCACTCCCCCCCACCAGTACAAATGAACTCCCCAAATATCCTATTAACGGGGTAGGAGGAGAATCTTGCTTGAATCAGCTGCTGCCACTGAGTAGCAGTGGGAGAATGGAAGTGTGAAGATAACAGTCTAGGATGATCCGACTCACCTTGGCCCCGATGCCTCCCCTACCTGCCTCCCCACTCCTATTATCCGACACACTCCATCAGACATGCTGCCACTGAATGACTTAGCTCAGCCAAAAAACACTGGTGTGGGGGTGTCTTATTGGTAAGATTTATCTTTTCCCCATTCAAAATGTCAAATTCTCCGCCAGTGGACACTGGGAATGCTAGAATCTAAAGTGGGGAGTAACCCCCAAAAGTCCCCCCAGAAGGGGCTGGATCCATCCCTGCCTATCTCTGGGAAAGGAAGCTCCCATGAGGTGAACGAGAATGGGTTTCAATCATTAAAAGTGCATTCCCCACTCCTCCATGCCATTACACCTTCCTGTCCTCCCACCTGTCAGATCCAAAGCATCCCTTCCAATATGCCACCTTCTGGAGCACTACACGGTCTGTGAATGACATTTGCCAGAGTCTCAGTCTCTAACTGCCTGGAACCTCACAGGCAGATGCCTGTTTCTCAGCCCAGGAAATCCAGGGTCAGCAGTGGACTGGAGGAATCAAAGCCACTCCTCAGCATCCAGAGTGATAACTGGCCACATACCAGAATTAGGTGGGGGAGAGGGGAGGTGCAGATCTGCCTTTTCCCTCAAGGCACTCAAGTGGACTACACAGCAGATGCTGCAGCCCTCTCTGATTTCACAAGTGTTTCCCAGTGTTCCTGTGTCTGGTGCCAAAGAGTCATCCCACTGCTTGGTCGAGGGTTGGAGAGGTTTAAAGAGAGTTCAGATGAAAGCCCTGGTCTGCGGACAGCAAATGCACAGCACCCTTCAGTCCCACATGCGTTCTCGAGAGGACGTTTCAAAGAGCAGAAGGAGACAGTGGCTGTTCTGCATTAGAATGATACGCCCGCAGTGTATGCACAGTCCTGTAATGGCGAGGTCGATAACCCCATGTGATAAGCACAAACTGCTTGCATCATGGAAAAAATGGTTTCCACTAAGCATTTCTGGAGTGCCCTGAACCTGTGACAAACTGGCATAAAGGTTACTTTGCCACAAAAATATGAAAGCAGCAGCTCTGAGCTCAGGGCCCGCAGGTAATTGTTGAAAGTTAATTCTAGGTCATGCAGAGCTGACAGGATCACAGTACTGCTGGCAGCGGGTACCAGGGGGAGGAGTATCTGTTTGGGAATTGAAAGTGTCAGCGAGCACAAGTGACTATTAAAAGGAAAAGTGGCTCAGAGAAAGGAAATGTGACCTGCAAGGCAGGGACTGGTTGCTAGCATTCTTCCTCCTCCGTTCCCCCTCTCCTCAGTAAAGCTGCCTCTCATCCGTTTTGTTTGGGCCACCTCCTTGTTCCCCTTCAGGATGACCTTAACCTTAAAAAGAGACTATCTATATACAGTGGATTTAAACAATTTAGCACCTGGGAAATTATGCAGGCCCAGAGGCAGCTATGGAGACATGCTGCTGCTTATTCACACCCTCCCAGCAATCAGGATCTGGGAACTGATGCAATAAAAATAAATCCGAGATAAAAATGCTGATGATCCACGCAGGGGGGAAACAGTTAACATATGCAAACTAAACACTGCTACATGTACTAGGATAGTCATGAGAGGCAGAAACTGAGCCTGCCTAGAAACTAAAGTGAAACGGACCAGCCTGCTTCCATTCTCCAAATGGAGAGTGTCAGAAGGGAAACCCTACAGCATAAATGGTGGAAAAAAAACATACTTGGCTTTTAAAAAAAATCATTTTTTAATTATCTAAGGGGTTATTAGCAACATAAGGAAGGTGATTCCATGGTTATGGCCAGATTCAATGATGGATTCCAATTACACGGCTTTGCCTGAACAGGCCCAAGCAGCTGGATTCATAGCAGTGACTGTGGTTTCAAAACTGTACGTGTAGTTTTCTTTGCAGAGTCTTTTGTTTCATTTGTAAAGTCTCCAATCCTTACACATTCAGCAGTGCCTGGACCACAGCACTAGGGACTCAGGGTAGTGCCAGACTCAGAACATCCCCATAAGAAATTATCCACATAAGGTGCAGTCTTTACCTGCTGATTTTTGTATCTGAATAAGAAAGATTCTTTTCAGGAGCCTATGTCAGCTTCTGACGAGGGGGGAGGGGAATCTATATTAGACCAGCTATATTCTAAATCAGAACATCCTGCCCACAAAGGAGCTGATCTTGCCAGATGCACTGATTTATTTGAGTTTAAGGCACTCACTTAGCAGGATCAAGCCCAAATTTGGAGCTGAGTGGTAGAGAGAAACCATGCTAGAAAAAGGGGTGTAACAGAAAAGAATGGGTCTGTGATTGGTGTATATATGGGCACAGAAGTGTACACACACACACACACACACATACACACACACACACACTTCTTTTAAAAATAAAAAGCGCAGCCACAAGGGTGGTGGTTTCCTTTATTTAGACCAGAAAAAAATCTTCTCGTGGAGCAAACAAAGAGGGTTTGTCTGGTTTCTCTACAACGGCTTGTGCCACAAAACCACGTGGAAGGATATCTGAGCAGCAGGGGGGCCGGGTCTACAATTACAAATAGTCCCCAAATTGGATCACGTCCACCCCAAATGTAATCCTGGCTGAAGCACTAGGGTCAGCGAAGAGACCAAAGAAACAAAGTGACCTTTTATCCCAGGACCTTTACAAAGGATGAAGCTGTATGACTCCCCTTGCTGAGTATTATCACCCCATTTCAGAGAGGGGAAACGGAGGCAAGAGGGATCTGACTTCTCAAGGTCTTGTAGCAAGAGAAACACAGAACCAAGAACGTAACCCAGGTGTTCTGATTTCTAGTCCCCTGGGCTAATCAGAGACATAATTAGCATCACACAACTAGGAATAGAAATTAGGAGTCCCAATTCCTAGTCCCCCATTCCAATCAATAGACTAATCTCTTTTCCCTTTCCATCACCCTTCCAGTGATGTGGAACCAGGAGTGGGTAGAAAGTAAGATAACTTCAGGGCAACAGGCACCGTTCAACACCTCTCACCAGTAAGACAGATGGGAGCACAAAGGGGCCCCAGACCAGGGTATTTGCTGCTACTTATTTCTACCAGTCGCAGAGGGATTGGGTACCAAAATGAGCCTCGCAGCGGGCTCAATCCTGCTCCCTCTGAAGTCAATGAGTCGTTCACTGTTCACAGGGCAGTCTGCCAGCAAACAGAAATGGATGACAATGCAAAATGGACACCTTGTAACAAATCCAGCCTGCTGCAAATCTCTGGCAACACTTCTACAGCTTGTCATGCCAATAAAGTTATTGAAAATGAAACGGGAGTGTGGCAGGGAGGGGTTCAGTCCCAAGGTGCATTGCTAGAGCCCCCTGCTGCCCTTCTGTGGGAATAACACCGAGGGTCACAACCTGCCAGGGCATGCCATTCAAGATGATGATAAAGAGGAGCTAGGGCCAGTGATGACCATTGCTAGAGTGGCAGTGGAGTTCTGCAGCATGAAGGAGGAAAAGAATGGCATCCCTGTCTGAGATGTGGCACAGAAGAGTGCCTCACTCTACACAGCTGTAATCCCCAGTCTGAATCAAGAACTACTGAAAGACAGCCGAGCCATTCAAATACACAGGCTCGTGCGAGTCAGAAATGGGCTAGCAAGGCCCGCCCTTTGATAACTCAGTGCCTACTACAGATCTTGTCTCTGCCCAGCTTTGTTCAGAACTCCATCCAAACACCTGATTTCCTCTCCAGTAAAGCAGCTGGAGTTCTCTGAGACTGCAACTGAATGAAACTGAATTGAATCAACTGGACTACGGTACCAACTAAGAAACGCTCCAGGCCTGCTAGCTCCAGCCAAGCAGAAGGGAATGTGATTCAGGTCTGTCACTATATAGTGCTACTCTTTCCAAGATTTCTGGCTAGAGGGGGGGTAGGGTGTGAGTCTGGAAAATTATCCCTGGCTGCTGCTTCTGCTTTTTTAAAGACAAGCTATCTTACAGGCTCCGGGAGATCCAGGTGCTGATTGGTCCTTTGTCTGATGATCAGATCTTATCATGGGAAAGAGAGCGAATGGGAAAAAGGAGAGGAAGACGGACAGCAAAGATGACAAACTCCTTCCTGTGACATCGCAGCACGTCTTTAGGGAGCTATTCATAGCCACTCAGCTTTTGGTCATTTTTTGTCAGCATTCTGGAAAACGGGCACTGAGTTCATCAGGATCCGCAATATGTTCCATTGGACTGAGACAGTCAGTGACCCTCTATCTCTCCCAAAAGGCATCTCGTGAAGGAAGGGAAAAGCCAGCTCTTCAGACGGGCCCACCCATTGCAAAAAAAGGCTCTTCCAAATGAAAGAGCCGTTCTAATGAACATGACACCACAAAAGGGTTAAATCTGGCATCTCACATTTCCAGTCCTAGTCCCCCCCACCTCTGTATGCACGCTTTGCTCCTGCTTTCCAGAAGGTGGCAGTATTGGTCCTAAGGATCTTCCCAGCAGCTTGGCTCAATGTCTCCCCCCAAATTACCCCCCAATTCCCCACCTCCCAGAGCATCTGCAATTCCTAGTGGCGTGTAAGCCCTGTAACTGTTGAAAAAAGAACAAGGCAAGCCGCTTACCTTCATTGGGTTTCCTCTCCACATCCCCCAGGGTCGGAGCGGCCTGCGACAACTGAAAAGATAATAGAAAATTAGTCAAAACACAAAGTCATTACCCTGTCCCCAGGGGCGGTTAGAGAACTGAGCCGCTTCCCAGGATTCCACCCGCTAGCTCCAGAATGCTGAGGTAACAATGCCACAGGAAGCAACAGTGTGGAGCGTTCTCATGGGGCTGAGAACCCACCCTTCTTCTCCCCATAGCAAATAAAGCCACCCCAAAGGAGCACGTCTGACTTCCCTGCTGCAACCTTACTGGGGGGAGTACTGCATGTGGGGAAAAGTTATTAGTAAAGGCTTTTGCCGGCCCGCTAGCTCCAGAATGCTGAGGTAACAATGCCACAGGAAGCAACAGTGTGGAGCGTTCTCATGGGGCTGAGAACCCACCCTTCTTCTCCCCATAGCAAATAAAGCCACCCCAAAGGAGCACGTCTGACTTCCCTGCTGCAACCTTACTGGGGGGAGTACTGCATGTGGGGAAAAGTTATTAGTAAAGGCTTTTGCCGGCTTTGAGAGGAAGTGTTCTCCCCCCCCCCCCACCCCCCCCACCCCCCACCCCACCAAACAAAAA